TATATATATACTATAGTATTGGTATATATCAGGAATTATATATCACAGGCTACCGTCGTCTCTCAGGATATTGATTCATCTAATGAACTGATGGTTTCCATTGACCTACTGTGCCCTCCTCATCTGCATAGAGAGTCTCAAGGGTCTTAGGGTTTTAGCTATGGTTGAGCGTCCACTTGAACAAAATCATATATATAAAATAAACCTTTGAAAGTAGTGTACTTCGTGTCTTTATTGTAGTAATAATATCTTTATTGTATTTTCTAAATGATTGCCCATTCTGGACAAGATATGACTCGCAACTCGTCAGAAGCTACCTAAATACTCTGTTGGCCGGGTTGATTCGCAAAGCTCATGTTGGATGCACCACTCATGAATCCCATCTGCGATTGCTGCGACACAAGATTATCCTCTTGCCTGTACTTCTTCTCAGCAGCACGACGGCGCATAACCACAATACAAGCGACAACACAGCAGCAACAGCATAGGCATAGCAGCAGAAGGGCAGCCACAGCTCCGCCAATGATCATCAGTTCGGAATCATCAGCTTGAGCAGCCGCAGTGGTACCAGCCGCAGTCCCAGCTCCAACAACGGCAGCCTGGATCAGGTCCTCGGCTGTGTAGCGGACACCAGCTTCTTTGTCTACAGCCACCTCGCCAGCATCACGCGTAGTCAACCCATTGAGAGAACGACGGCGGCGACCAGCTGATCCATCGTCGTAATCCACAAGAACAGTAAAGTTCATGGTGATAGCATTACCGGTACGATCGGAGGTTGCACAGGCCATCTGTGAAGTTACTTGGAAAGGCATGGAGATTGCTTGGGTTGCCGGTTTGTAGGTTTGACTGAACTCGGCGTTGTCGGTGACGTCGCCCATGTAGTCAGCGAAGCCAGAACAGTCGCCGTCAGTGGTGCGTTCGACGTAGGTGACCTCGGCGTTGTACAGCGCAACTCCGCTTTCAGATGTATCAACGATGATCTGCCAGTATGACATGGTTCCAAGATCGAAAATAGACTCTTCCTCTAGGTATTCGTCGGACGCGTACACTGCGATCGACAGGTCAAACAGAGCATCGAGCTCAAACTCCTCCACCTCACAGAAATTGTTAGTATCGATAAAGAAGATGACCTTGGGCTGGAAGATCTGAGCATCAGTCAATGCGGGACACGCCTGGGGATCGCCATTCGCGTCCTGTTCCTGACAGGTCACGATAAGACCCTCAAGCGAGTACTCACCAGTCAGATCACACGTTACGATGTCAAACTCGACATTCTGAACACACTCTTTGCCGCTCGCCACGTTATTGCAAGCAGCATCGAATACATAACTAGAAATGGAGCTTACTTCAGCCTCGAAACTTACATCTCTCATGCCAACCACACCTACTAGGCCTCCCTGGATTGTCATGGGAGAGGGCAGGTGAGTTTCCAAGCGAATCTTAGAATGATTCCATCCGTCAAAGAATCCCACATCCACCAAGTTGATAGCTGCCTCAATGTCGAACACAGGGGGCTGAGGTCCACACTGAGGGTCGGTTGAGTACAAGTTACACTCAGATGGGCAACCCTCATCCATGTCAGGATCACATCCATTGTGACTACATGCGGGATCTGTGGAGTAAGGTGTGCACTCAACAGGGCAATCTGCATCAGCAGCAGGGTCGCAACCACCGACGTTACACGCGGGGGCGGTTGAGTAAGCGTGACAGCCTTGAGGACAATTGGGGTCTCCTGAGCTAGGATCACATCCGCCTGGGTTACAAGCAGGGTCAGTTGAATATGGAGAGCAGGTAACTGGGCAACCATCATTCAAAGTAGGATCACATCCGGGAGGATTACATGCTGCCGATGTCGAGTAGGGACTGCACTCTACCGGGCAGTAGGGATCGTTGACGGTGTCACAGCCTGGGTTGCAAGCAGGATCGGCGGAATATGGAGAGCAGGTAACGGGACAGTCGGCATCCACACCTGCAGTGCATCCTGGGGGATTACAAGCCGCTGCCGTAGAGTACGGGCTACACTGCTCGGGGCAATCAGCATCGACTGCTGGGTCACAGGCAGTGGGTTCTTCGCGAAGCATATATAGGTACGGGTCCAACTTGATGGGGTTGTTATTCACCAGGATGGAGGCGACGATACCATCCCCATTGTGATCGTGATCATCAGTCAACGTAGCATCACCAATACGACTTGCAACTTCCATAGGCGCAATAACAGTGTAGTACTTAGGGGAAAGGTCGAAGAATATGAAGGTACCATCCTCCTCGGTTTTGGTAGTGGCCAAAACATTGCCCTGGGCATCCCGAAGGTAGACCAAGACATCCTGGATAGGCTCAAGAGTATTCGCAATTCGAGTTGAACCCTCAATACTACCAAGATGAGTGACTGGGATGACATCATACTTGAACGGAGGTACAGTCAGTGCTGTGTTGGGCGTTTCGTAAGCTGCCTTGGTATTGCCATCTCTGAAGCCATCTGGATCTTCAGCAAGGAATATTCCTCCTTGTAGATAACGAGGCACATCAACATAGTGGTCGCCGACCTCAATGTTGTCGAAGGTGTACTCTCCATTCTCATCGGTGAATACGAAACGAATTCCGGGATATCCGACCTCGGAAATAAGAATGACTGGAACATTTGGGATGGGGGTTCCATCTAACATCATCACACTTCCAGTGATAATACCTTCCTGTGTAAGTACAAAATTGACGTCACTGATGGAGACACCCTTGTAATCAACAGGTGAGATACCGTCTAGAACTTTAGCACCGTCAACGTCATATTCATCATCATGCAGCAAATACTCGTCAGGCTTGGTCATAGTCACGGTATAAATGGCAGAATCGTACACCTCGTCGAAGAAATATATTCCCTCCTGATTAGTGAGCGTAGTGCGTACGTCATCTCCATTAGTGAGAGTAACGGTGACACCTTCGATCATCTCGTTTTTAGTATTTCGTACATGACCGGTGATCGTTCCTGGTGGAGTGTAACCGAAGTTGACATTCTCGAGTTCAGTAGCAGGAGTCACGTAGATTGGGGTTCTTGTGCCGCTATTGGTAGGATCAAGGTAATCGTCAGTAAGCTGCTGTGTAAGATCTTTGGGATTCTCGGGAGGAACCTCGATGATGTATTCCTTTCCAGGAGGAACTCCCTCGAAAGTATATGTACCGTCGGGGCCGGTCGTAGTTTCTTCAATTACTTCGTTCGTCTCAGGGTCAATTAGTTTGACAACAACACCTGGAATAGGCTCGTCGGTAGTTGTGGTATAAGCGGTACCAGTAATGTTGCTCATGGGAACATATGGCTCCAGTGGCTGACTGTAGTGATAGTCGACATTGGCAACGGATGTTTCAGTTGGAGTAATTGTTACTACGAAAGATCCGTCTAGTACTTCATCACCGTTGAAAGGCTCGTCGTCAAGCACGTCCGTGAAAAGACTATTCGTAGGGGCAATGACAGTATATTGCTGATTGTTCGTGTTCAGCCCGGTAAAAGCATATCTTCCTTCATTATCAGTGAAAGTAATGCTGATCAAAATTCCATTTTCGTCTGTCAGCGTCACAGTCTCACTGACAAGAGGGCTATTATAATCTCCAGCCGTGAGCTGTCCGCTGATAGTTCCTTCGTTATCATAAGGGAAAACACCAGCATCACTACTCTGACCTTTTACAACTACTACTGTTGTTTCTCCATCGATTACATCCTCACCTTCGGGATCGCCTACAAGCCTGATATCACCGTAAGTTTCATCAGTCACTTCAGGGACAATTTTGACGGTGTATTTTCCTTCAGGTATGTCGGTGAAAGTGACCACACCATCCTCGCCTGTTGACTTGGTCTCTATGATTTCACCTGATGGACTGAGAACTACTGCCTCGACGCCAGACAATGGGGTTCCGGAACTAGCGTGGATTGCCTTGACAGTAATTGATCCGGTGGGTGCAGACACAAATGGAATACATTCTGGCGCAGTCGAGTACAAGTTACACTCTGGTGGACAGTTGTAAGCATCTGGACTGTTCGGGTCGCAACCTCCTGGATTGCACTCTGGTAGCGTTGAGCCTTCCGAACATGTTGCAGGGCAATCAGTGATGACTGCAGGATTGCAACCACCAGGATTGTGGCACTCGGGCTCGGTAGAGTACATATGGCACTCCGAAGGACAGTACTGATTGGTAGCGGTGGTGCAACCATTGGGCTGACAAGCTGGGTCTACGGACCCAGGCCTGCAGTTTACAGGGCAATTCTCATCCACATCAGGATCACAACCACCGGTGTTGCACTCTGGTTCGGTTGAGCCGAGTTCACAAGTAACGGGACAACTAGGGTTTGTATCGGGGTCACAGCCCCCTGGGTAGCAGGCAGGGTCTGTCGAGTACAAGTTGCAAGTAGGTGGGCACAAATCATCTGTCGCTGGATCACAACCATCAGGGTAACACGCTGGATCTGTGGAATACATATGACAAGTTTCTGGACAATCCGGAGTTGTTGCTGAGTCACAACCAGTGGGTTGGCAGCCTACGGCTTGTGAACCAGGATAACAGTTCTGTGGGCAATCTGCATCTCTAGTGGGATCGCAGCCAAGTGTGTTGTTCCACTTAGAGTTGATCGTGGCAGCCACATTTGCGACAGTATCAATTTGCACCAACAAGTTCGTAACCGCGTTACCTTCGCGAACAACTGGAATACGCAAAAACTCTTCATCATTGATTCTTTTTACATACTCATCCCACTGTGCTTCAATTTGTGCCTCGTACGATGTGAAGGTTCCGTAGTCTTTGATGGTAGTACCACAACCAGTAGGCGCTGTACCGCCGAGTTTGTCAAAACTGACGCTGAAATCTAGCTCTGAGCGACAATTTCCCATCAGCTTGTACACGCCACCTGACATTTTTTCCGGGTGATCTACTGCATAGTGACAGTCTTCAAAGTAAAAATCGTTCAGCTTTCGCTCATTATGCCAAACTCCAACATCCGTTCTCAGATTGACATTATTATTTCGAACATACGCCTCAAGGATCTCTATGCTAAAGTTTGCCTGCAGTGCGTATGGTTCTCCTAAACTGCATGATGCTCCACCAACTGTAGAGACTGTAATTTTATCCAGCGTGGTAGCATAGCCAGGCATATTGCCGAATGCAAACACAGCATCAGCGGCTGAACCGACAATAAAATTTGCACCCCCGCCAACCACTGCCAAATTCTTGTCCACTACGATGGGGTCTGTAACTACATAATCTCCAGGTGCGAGCTCGATGGTGTCGCCGTCGGCGGCATTATCTATAACAGTTTGATAATCTTTGTTATTGGCAGCTAAATTGGCGCCGGCAGTAGACGCCCAAAGAGCGCTTAAAACCGTTGCGCAGTATTTCATAATTAAATGTAACTATGAGTTCTACCTGCACTTAGATCGAATGCGTAAACGTTGCTACGTGTCTGATATATATATTAAATTTGTACGTGACTCACGCATGCACACTTGCCCAGGGCCGCCCCTGGAGTCAGGCCAGCCATTGGTGTCAGGGACTCAGGGCAAAATACTATTTCTTTAAAAACATAGTTAAACGGTACTCCCTACATTGTTTTGTTTATTGTTTGATCATTTTTTTTAAGTATTTCTAAATAAAACATAGTGTTTTCCATACTATACTATATATTTTTAAATTTTTTAAACGAAAACAAACCAAAAAAAAACCCCTTTATAAAAATATTTTTTAAATTAGGAATTTTTATTGATAACAATATCGAATCATATTACTTTATTTTAGGCAAGTCACTCTAGCCTCCCTTGCAAAGTCCAAAAAACTCAAAGGACCAAGTCGACAAGAGGACTTTTTTTTGAAGTTAAATGTCTTTATAACAGTTAACAGTCAACAGTTTATCCATTTCTTTTTTTTATTCAAAAAAAACAAATATAAAAAAATCCTTATTTTCATATTTAAAAAAAACAGATATGTAAACTTTATATGTATCGGCCTACCTTTAACAGCTGTTTATCATCCGCTGTATGTATTTAGTTATTAACTTATTGTAGCCTGTACAACAAGTGTACATGTCGCCAGTTTGCCACGGAAGCTTCGGTTCGGACTTCGAAAGACTGGAAGGCGGAACCGGGAATACAGCCTCTGAGGCCTGAGCCTAGTTTTTACTTTTTACTTTTTGCACAACACTGACAACAGGGCGCAAGTCGGAACGTGTACTGTCACTGTGTAGTGTGTACATAGCACATATACAGACGACACACACACACTTACACAGTCACACACTGATGACACTCGGACTCAGAAGTGACTAGCTAGTAGCTAGTCACAAACTGATAACACTCAGATTCTCAGTCTGGCGGCTGACCGACAACAAGGGATTTTAGATTTTAACCAGCCATATTTACATGTGTACGGTATCGTGATTTTTGTTTTGTTATTTTTCTTGTAACAAAAAGGACAAGAATAAACTAATACCCACACTCAAAAGAGTTCATGCATCTCTCTAGAGATTCTAGAGAGTGAGTTCTGAACTTCTGAACTTCTAGAAGGAGTGAACCAGCATACTCCTTTCGTCTTCGTACCTTTAATTGGATAGTTTTACAAACCATTTTAAACATTTAAACAAATTTACATTCCTATATTCTAAACAATCGCTATATCTGTATATCATAGGCCATAAGTCATTTATAAACACCTATTTGTTTTTCCTCAGCGGCTCAGCCTAGGGGCTGGGAGCCTGGGACTCTTGGCACTTGGGAATGGGAGGCTACGCGACTGAAAGTCAAAATAAAGTTTATTTGCTTTTTTTCTTTTAACACAGGGCATTCCAGCTCTTTAAATACACTGATTGAAGGGTCTTTTTAAAAACCTTAAACCCTAAAACTACCAAATATATGCACGTTGGACACGAAGAAATGATGTGACGTCATCAATTGTGAATTGATGTTTGACATGTTCTCTTCGAGGCTATGAGTAAAATCTGAAAGGCTAAACCTATGAGACCTACGTCGCCCAAGTACCGAACTGAAGATATTTCGTTTTATGAAATAAACAGCATCCCCTACCAGCTTCATGGGACCAACTCTCCTATAACGACAATTACCACAACTTCATTGAGGGCGTACAGGTCGACAGACTTCCACCTGAAACCAGGTGTGACTCCGCGATGTATTGTGTATAAGCAGAAGAATTCCAAGCTGATGGCTTGGGAAGCGGAAATTTGCGATACGAACTATAAACGAGGTATAATTGAGCTCAGAGACTTCTTTAGCAAGACCCGCTTGTTGGCGGTCATCACGCGTAAAAATCCGAGAGTTGACTCCAAATCAGCGGAAGACATTGTTATTTCCCCGACTATTCGGTCGCGAACGAAAATTTCGACGTAGAACCGTACCCCTGCAAATGAAGGACGAGGGTCTTGGCCACCCTTGTAATGCCGACACCAGGTCATGTGTCAACATGGCATGCAGATTTAACCAACTTAAATATACGAAACGCTCCCGCAGGTACCAAACATGTATCACGTCTAAAGATTATGTTTGGCAACCGATTGTAAGGTGATCGGGGTCAAACTGGGTTTCTTCTTTAATTTCCAGCTGGTCCTCTGTACCAATACTTTACAACGAATGGGCCAGAAGATCCTTCACTTTGTCGACGAGGGTGACATGGTTGAGTCCAAGAATGGCCATTGGCACACGATGGAGTCGTACGTTGCCATAGCGTGGAAGCACAACATATGACTGTGTCTTTTGAAGACATACCTAAAACCCTACAACCCTTTATTATTTAATACCTTTTACATATTACCTAACAGATATTTGGACAAGACCATTAAAAGGCCCCAGTAAAATACCAAACATAAGATTTGGACTAGTTCTATTAATAGAACTATTTTTACTTTCCAAATCTATTTATATCTGAATACTTCGGTAGCGAGATGACTCAACCGAACATAGGTTTCTAATGACTATTAGCGTTGCTTAGTTTATCCTCCGTTCAACCAACCAGATGTGCCAGTCTGACGAAGGCTAAGTCGGTAATTCTTGATAAGTGGCAAGTTATTGGTTAATGCAATAACTATGGACATCAGGAGTATTTTTTTCTTTCATCTTTTTAAATTTTCCGAGGATTGCGTTTTCTCGGCCTGTCCCTTTCGAGATTTTGCCTTCTTCGCTGGTGGCTTCTGTGGCTCCGTAGTCACATTACCTCCAGATGAACCTACACCCAAGTCAACCAACTTCTTACGTTTCTGTTTAGTCAGAGTTGGTACCGGTTGTACCGGCGTGATCTCAGTTGCTTCAGATTCCACTGATGATGCTGGGGGGTTTTCTGCGTTTCATCTCCTACAGTAAACCAATTCGCTTTTGTAGCCTTAGCTACATTCGCCGCCTTATTGTTTCGTCATAATATCGATAGCGTATTATAAACTTAAAAATGCTATCTGGAAGCACGCCGTTTTTAACACGATTTATCAACCTCTGTTAGAAATTCCGTTTGCGAAGTTGTAGCCGAAATACCTATAGAAATTCCGTGGCTTCCTGTACATGCGCTAGCATTGTCAAATGGCCATCCTAGTCAGTATTTCATTTCAGACGTTGTTCGGCATCAAACCCTCATCCAACGTAGAAATCGAGTGTTGAGCCTCAGAGACCAGTCGGTCACAAGCGGGTCCGACGTACTCAGCAGTAAAACCTCACTGAACGAGGGCGGGTTGAACTCTCCTGTACAAATACACCGTTTACAGGCCGAATCTGGGTTGTTGACGCTAGTATTGCTGGTTTCTGTATTAACGGTATTGACCGTCTCTACCCGTTTGCATATCGCAGTACAAAGCTGTGTGAACTCTGCACAGTGTCTTGTCACGTATCAGACCTGAAGAATGATGAAATGATCATCACAGCTAACTTCAATCCGCTCATCGTCTGGACGGGCCTTTCTCGTGGTGACCGACTCCTCCGCGTGGTACAAAATGTCCCGCGCCATACTGTACGTATACGTACATTCTAGGCGAATGAAATTGCGTTGCCGATATGTTATCTCGGAGTTCCTAGGCACTTGTCCTTGAGCCGGAATCTCTACTAGGTACTCGTTTCTTCCCTTATAATACGTCTTACTCTAATGTGATATTTTTCAATCCCAGCTGGATAGTTGTTCTCTTTAAGAAACAAGATTCCCAGATGTTGACTTGTATGCAAGCTACAAGTGTCATTGTCAACCCCGCTACTGCGCTTAAATTCCCGGCCCCTTCACTACTGCGCCTTCGTACCTTCATCCATTGCCATTGTAAAATTGCGCAGGACAATGTATCTACACCTATGGACTATACTTTACCGCCACCTGCCCCCATGAAACCTGTAGTGAATTCGCTGAACCTTCCGCACTGCGCAATAGTGCTGGTTAGTGCCAGTGGATTGGCTCTCTTCACAAAATTTACCCAAGACACAACTCGTGACCTTTCCAGTTTTGTTGTAAATTAGGTGAATGACGACTGAACCAACCAATCTAGTAGTACTAGGTCGGCTGGTTCAATCGTTCATTTAATTTGCTTTCTATAGTACTCCTACTGGTGACGCTCACCTAACGTCGACCCGTATGTATGTTTCGACGGCGGTTCCTTCCCGGACACCTCCATCCTCTTTACTTATGAGCCTTGGCGAGGTTATGTCTGAGATTTCCAGGAACGGGTACAAGTCCCATGACCTGCTGTCGAGGTCCTTGAATACATTTGGGCGACTTATCGCAACCGTGACCATCTTCGGCCACAATCAATTGAACTAGTACTTCAACGAAACCTTCATCCTCCTGCTGGTTATGTCTGCCTCTGATGTACATTAGAAGGTACTCTACAGGGTCTTACTATCGGTCTACTAACCCAGCCTACATGTGGTAGCTATCTAATTGTAGTCTAACATTTGGGCTTCAAAGTCATCTCTGAGACGGCTCGAGGCTTTGAATACGGTGTTTTTTTGTTGTTGCATAGCTGCAACTGCCGAGTATGTCATTTAACTCCAAACCTTTTTAGGGCTGGTGTGCAACTGAAGGCACCGCATGCCGTATTGTTACCGCTGGTTTCCACAGCCATAATGATATTGTTCATACCAAGTTCACTGCGTCTACTAGGTGTAACAAAGTCCAGTCTGAGTCTGCTGTGCCGGTCCAAAAGTTTATCACAAGGATCTAAGAATTCGGAGCGCGTTATGAAAATATCAATCACACACATTTTATTAATATTAAATTAATACACATGAAAAGCACAGATCGAAGTAGAAAGTAAGAGAATGATCCCCGCTAATTTTTCACTTCTAGAGGACATAATACATATAGTGCAAGACCCTGTACTGTTTTGAAATGTCTGCCATGCAGCCATTTTTTGATCGTTTGGACTGAAATTAAAACATGATTGGCATCGCATGTGGTCGGAATACTCTAAACAGGGATTATTTGATGAATATTGGTAAATTTCGCTTTTATGTTAGGATCTGTAAACTTGCAAGTTTAGAGTTCATGTATTATTATTAGGATTGTCAACAAAGGAACGACGTCTCTCCTTGTAAGAGGGGAGTATGTTTAGATACAATTATCTGCGAATTACCACATTTTTAACTTACTAGTAAGAAGTTATTCATTTTTTCAACAATCCAAGAACACAATATAAACTAGTGAGAAGATAGAGAAATATTGACTAATATATACTAGACGAGATTTAGATGGTAAACATCAAGATGAATCGAGTGAATGGCACTAATGGAGAGCGAATGCAATGGCTACCTCGGCGAGATGCCGAACAATATTTTCAGTTGGCTGAAAAGCCGTTGAATGGCACTTTATATAAAACAGACCACTTTGTTGTAGCATACGCAAGAGAATAGACGCCAGCTAAGATAGCCAGAAAATGTAGAGGGCTTAGTAAAAGTGTATTCGAGCTGACAGTGTCAATCACAGGCCTCAGGGCTAGTATAAATTGACCTTCTATAGATACTGAACTCAATTGTGATTGGGTGGAAATCGAACTCTCACACTGCTGCTTGACAGTGCTTCTGAGATACATCCGTATCGACACGAAAAATCCACTTACAGAGGGCATAAGCAGCAGAAAGCGCATATACTGACTAAGGATTCATTCACTCATACACTCGTGTTAGACGTACAGCGCGCCTAGTGGCGGTGAAATATTCCTGAACTGTGAGGGATAGCAACAGCCGGGTAAACAGTTTAAGGATACAAACAACCGATTAAATTTAGCCCTGCCCCTAGGATGCGATAGCAGATTTGCGGACATCGGCAATTTGGTCCCTACGCTGCTTCACGAGCCAGGTCTTGAGATCATTCTCGCAAAAAACGAGTTCTCCCGTATTCGTTGACCGTAACTGAGTTGAGATCGGGGGATTCAAACTTTCCAGGACAGCCCGCACCGCTTTGTCGAGCACCAATCCATCGGCACTGTTCTTACCTTCGCCTACTATGATTCTTGCAGACGGCGGCCTCGTTCCCTCCTGTGCATCGCCGTGGAGTGTCTGCAGTATGCGAAGTAACCTTCGCACAGCAGCTTGTGCTTGTAGCTGCGTGTGGTTGTGAAGATCAAGGACGCCTACCTTGTCAAACGTATTCCAGCAAGACCCATAGAGAGCGAACCTCTTAATCATATCCTCATATAACGAATCGATATGAGTATGTCCGCTGCTGATTGTCCCCAGTGCTTGCATAACGGCGTTGTATACCCCCGTGTCACGTTCGATACCTTTGATCTGCATTTGATCAAAAATCTCAATAGCTTTCATCCAGTCCTTCCCTTTCTCGCAGGCGGTTATAGCAGCACTGTATGTAAAGGTGTTGATTTCGACACCTTCGCATTCCATCTCACATAACAACTCAACAGCCTTCTCCGACTTTCCCACTCTCGCACACGCAGATATGATAGCACTGTATGTTCTTGTATTGCGTACTATACCTGTACGAGCCATTTCATCGAACAATTCTATAGCTTTGCTCCACTGTGTCTCGTCCTCGCATGCAGAGATGGCTGTAGTGTACGTGATCGTATCCCGCTTGACATCTTTCCTGTCCATCTCATCGAAGACCTCCATTGCCTTCTCGAAATGACTACTCTTTTGACAAGCGGATAATATAACGTTATACGTGATTGTATCTCGAACGCAGCCCGTGGCGCCCATTTCTTCAAACAGTTCCAAGGCTTTATTCGCCATTTCCCCTTTAACGCAGACGGATATCATTGTATTGTAAGTGATCGTGTCGCGTTTTATGCCTTTCCTTTCCATCTCATCAAATAACTCGATAGCTTTTCTAGCATTCTTACGTGCTCCGCAGGTGGAAATGATAGTGTTGTAGGTGGTCGTGTTCGGTGCGATGCCGCTAGGCATCATCTCGTTGAATAAATTCATGGCTCTCTTGTACTCCCCTCTTTTCTCGCACGCGGATATCATCGTGTTGTATGTACCAGTGGTGCGTTCAATGCCCTTCCGGCCCATCTCATAGAATAACTCTTCGGCCTTCTCCGATTGCCCTCCACTCTCACAAGCGGATATTGCAGCACTATACGTGATGCTATTACCGGGAATACCCCTGCTCTCCATCTCGCTAAACAACTGCAGCGCGTCTATCCATCGGTCTAATTTCTTGTACGCAGTCATAGCAACAACGTACATCCGGGCATCCGGAGAGAACCCATCAGCAATCATATCTTGGAATAGAACCACAGCCTCTTCGGCCTTC